ATTGTTCTTTGAATTTGATCATCTTGTGCCCTGTTTTCTTCTGTTTTTAGTTGCTTGCTTTTGTTTTATTTCTTGCCTAGCATCTCAAGTTATTTCACTTAGCTTTCATTCTCTCATCTTGCATTTCATTTGGCTCCTGCTTTTTTTAATTCCTGTTGCATTTAGTTTTCTTGCATTAGATTACTTGCTTTAGACTTGCTAGATTTCCCTTTTGTTTATGCATTTCATCTTTGATCACTTAGGTTGTTCGAATCATCCTTCTTCATCATACATAGTTAAGATTAGTTAGTGCCTTGCATCTCTTTTAGTCTAGCTCCTAGATGAATTGATAAAACATCTTCTATACTACATCTGATTAGAGAGGGATTAAGTTAAGACTTGAAAAAATCCTTCTTAACAAAATTAATTAATCAGTAACACATTTTTAGTTATATAATGATATGATAATTTTAATACGATATTTTCATATTTCTATATTAATATGATATGATAATTGATAAATACAGTAAAGTTATAATATAATAATTGAGTAAATATGACTTCTGAACATTAAATACTACTGCCTTTCAAAGTCTTTGATTTTAAATTAGTTTTATTATATTTGTGATAACTTCACTAATTTAAATAGAGTTTCTAGAAACATAGTTATGATATTATTAATCATTCATGGTTTGTCATACTCCATGAATCGTACAAAAATGTTGAGGTGCAATTTAAGTCATGTTTTCATTTACTTTTCTCAACATATTTTTTGATGTTTAAATTTTTTTTTTTGGAATTTTTTTTCATTCTTCATACAAATTTATTATAGACTATATTTTTCATTTATAACTAATGATGAAGGCAGCACAAAGTGTAACCTTGAAATCTTTCCCATACCAAACAGAATGACTCATCTTGTGATTGTTTGATCCTTGAGATATTCTGCCTTAGCGTAGCTGTCCTGGTAGAAGAGTAAAACTTTGCAAGAAACACTCTTTTACAATCATCCCAAGAACATACTGAACCACAAGGCAATGATCTTTCCCACAAATGTGCACGTTCACCAAGAGAAAAAGGAAATAACCTCAGTTTGAAACCATCTTCTGTGATGCCATTGATGTTTTGTAAACTGCAAAGACTCTCAAAGCCGTCCAAGTGATCAAGCGGATCCTCCATAGATGTGCCATTAAAACGGTTGGCTTGTACCATTGCAATCAAACTGCTTTTGATCTCAAAGTGATGCTCTTGAGATGGTGGAGGAAGTATACATCTGCGTCTAGTGTGAAGGTAAGGAGCATCATGAGATCCTATGTGCTGTGCTCTTCTAGCAATCTGAGGCACTGCCCTATGTAACCTCTGAACTGGTGATTCATCCTCTCTGAACTGAGCTTGATGAGCTTATCTGTGATGGTATTGATCAGCCAGTGTACCTAAAAAAACAGAGCAAGAAAGGTAAAGTAGTTAGTAAAGTAAAAGGTGGTTAAGTCTAAGCAAGAACCTAGACTCAATTATCTAACAATCCTAGAATGGCAACGGCGCCAAATTGAAGAAGAAAATTTTCAAGTCTTAACTCAATCCCTCTTTAATCAGATGTAGTATAGAAGAGGTTTTATCAATCCATCTAGAAGCTAGACAAAAAGAGATGCAAGGCAGTAACTAAGCTTAACCATGTATGATGAAGAAGGATGATTCTAACAACCTAAGTGATCAAAGATGAAATGCATAAACAAAAGGGAAATCTAGCAAGTCTAAAGCAAGTAATCTAATGAAGGAAAGCTAAATGCAACAGGAATTAAAGACAGCCGGAGCCAAATGAAATGCAAGATGAGAGAATGAAAGCTAAGTGCAATAACTTGAGATGCAAGGCAAGAAATGAAACAAAAGCAAGCAACTAAAAACAGAGGAAAACAGGCCACAAGATGATCAAATTCAAAGAACAATAAGGTGCTGATTCAAGGCTAGAGCAATGATGACTTGGGGATTAGTTAGTATCAAATCTAGGGTAGTCAAGACCAATAACAAGCTAAGAACATGATTAAGCCACTAATTCAATCAATCTGCAAACAGAACATAGATGTCTAAGATAAGCACATGTCAGACCCACTTGTGATGGCGTATTTGTGCAAAACCAGCATGAAAACACAAGACACTTAAATTCCAAACAAACAACCAAAAAGCAATATAATCATCTAAGTGATTGTTCCTAGCAAAGTTCTTTCATGCATTTGAACAAACACTTGTGATGCAGCAAACACCTATAATCTGTTTCACCCTAGATGAGTTACTAAAGCATTAAGAACAACCTAGCTAAGTGATCTAAGCATGAATCAAACCAAAACTCCCTTAGTTATCAACCAATCATCCCCAAATCAACCTCAAACCATATGAAACTACTCACTACACATCATGAAGTCAACAGAAACAAGCAGAAATGACAAATCAAGCATGATTAAACAAGAACTAGAAGAAAAATGACAAAGGAAGTGTAAAACTTTATTAAAAGAGTGATCTTGATCAAAATCTCATCAAATCCCCTCTTGGGTTTCCCCTCATGTCGAAAATAAGATAAAGAAGAAGATAAGTGCTAAAAAGATAAGGTTTAGCTTAAATAGGATAAGAAGATAAGGTTTGAAGAAAAGTAGAAAAATCTTGGTCAACTCTCGGCGTTGGCACATCGTGGTGCAAGGGAAGGTGTTCTGCTCGATGCAGTCATCTCGATATCGAGGTGGGTTCTCGGTGTTCTCCTTGATGCTACACCTCGATATGCCCTGTATATCAGTATCGGCTTGTACAACATTCCTAGCTCGGTGCAATACCTGGGTGCAGTCTCAGGGTCCTCGGTCAAATCTTTCTTCCTCGTTCCACGCTTCACATCGAGCAAGCTTCATGAATGTTATGCTCGATGCTGGACCTCGATATAGATACAGAGTTTGCAAAGCTGCTTCTTCGACATATCCTTCGAACATGAGTTGCTTCCATCTCCTTCCCAACTCTCCCAAAAAAACCTGAAAGTCACCACAAACATGCACATGTATGCAAATGTATGCAATCCTAAGCTAAATGCATACCATGTTGATTCTAAGTGCAAACGACACTAAAATGCTAAAGTATGATGCAAAAACAGAGAAAAAGATGCATGAAATGCAACCTAAAATGTTCTAATATAACAAGCTATCGTTAACTTAACAAAATTATACAAAATTACATCGATAAAAAAGTAACTAACTTTTGTTATTGGTTAATTTTTACCATTATCTTCATATCACACAATGTTATCGTTATCGTTATCATTGTTACAAAAATTATAATTAACACAATTGGTGTTATCATTACCACAGTCCACTATTATCGTTACCTTCATCACCATTGTAACCATCACCATCATCACTATTACTTTAGTTATCATCAATTTCCCCTCCACCTTCACAAGCTTCCTTCACTGCATTTGTTTTTTTTCTCTTTCTTCTTCCTTTTTTTCTTTCTTTTTATTAGAATTAAGAAAAAGTATGTTTTCAGTAATTAAATTGTAAAATTTTTTTTATAAAAAGTGTTTGATATACAGTTTACTATACAACTGAAGAGAAAAAAAGAAATATCATATTATCTATTATCGCCAATTGCTAATACTCAGAAATCAATATAACATAAATTAATATAAGATAAAAGAATTATAATTTAAGAAAAAAATAAAAATAAAAAATATTAGTTATAGCAAAATAAATTGGAAATAAGTCAATTAAATACCAACTAAACCCTAATAATAAAATGATCTAAGTCTTATACTATAAGATTGTTTCAGCAAAAGAGAGAATATTTTTTTTGAGAGAATATTTTATCAGCAAAATGTTTATGAAACATTTGTAAAAGAATTTATTATGCTTGAAGGTACTTTATGACTTTATAATTACATTCAAATGCATTTTAAAAATATGGTGAACTTTGATGAGATGATAAGACGAAACTATCCCTCATAATTCAATCAACTCTCTTCGTTATCTCCACCAAACAATTGGTAAAAAAAATTTGACTCCTCTGCCAATTCAATCAGAGTTCATCCCTAATCTAAATCTTTAAAGTTTTCATCTCCAAAAATTTTAAATCCACTCTCCATTACGACGACTACGAGGTTTTTCAAAATCAAAATTGGATTTGAGATCGATTTACGCCCAATTAAAATTAATTCAGATATAACAACAATTATCTCCATTGATATATTACATATAAGAAATACAGAGTGATTTTAGAAATTGATTCATTCATAATCCCTAGATGTTTATTCAAAATCAAAATTGAAAGAACAACCAGACTAGATGCCTGATTTCAGATTCAAAGTATACACCAAAATTCTAAAATTAGAAAAACCTAAATAATTAAGATTATGTGGTTAATTATCGGTGTACATGATTATGTGGTCAATATTTAGTGGACAGTCCTTATTAAAATATGTAATACTGAGATTTCTTGGTGGACAATGTTTTTTTCATTTAGATTTTTTGTTAGAATATCAGTTATTGGTTTCTTATATCACCACCATCTTAATGCCAAGATTTCTTGTTGAAAGTTATCTGGTGATTTCTTAAAACAGCACCAGGTCGTTGCAGCCCCAAGTCGTTACAGCACCAGGTCATTGCCGCATTATAGAAAGTGACAAGACTGTGTGGTCGGTCTTAAAGTCCTTCAACATCAACAAGTGCCTTTGGATATAAATAAAAAAAACTCATAAGTACCTACGAGTGTATATCATTTTAATGTATAGGGAGAGTTATGAAGCTTTAAATTTTTAATACCAAATGCAGCAAGATATAAACATAAATATTACCACCTTAACACTAGTGTCATGCTTCACAAGATTAATGTTTTTTACCTAACAAGATTAGTATCTGAATTTGTTGTCTCACAGTCACATCATATCATTGCCAATGAATTGTTGTTGGTACATACGTTTTTAGCAATGTTGTCATAGAACAATATTTAACCAATATAAATCTCAAAAGCACAAAGAAGAGAACATCACTTACTTAAGAAGATGATGTCCACAAGACATGCATTGCATTCAAGTCGCTCAGGCTTGTTGACTTGAGTGATGTTTTATACAATTCTCTTAGCTTTCCAGAATCTCCGGATCTCCCTGAGGTCTGAGACTTGTTTGCTCCTTCCGCTGGTAAGGATAAGGCCAACATTCGCTTAAGAACCATCTGCAATTGAGCCCAGAATCTCGCGTAAAGCTCCGTGTACTCGGTTCTTAATGATTCCGCATATGTTTTGGGAATGCGATGGCCTTCGAGCAAGCGAGACAAAGCTGACTCAAGAATCTGAAAGTATACAAACGAAAAGGAAGATAAGGTTGCGGCACAAAGATAAATGTCAATTGTTCAAGTCTCGTACTTACAAAGTTTGCAGCACAAAGATAAATGTCAATTGTTCAAGTCTCGTACTTACAAAGTTTGATTGCTAGAAGTTTGAAAGGCTGAAGGAAAGATCCGATCTTTCGATCAAAATCGTAAGGAACATGGAAGGATGATTCTCGAGGCCGTAAAAGTCAATTGATTTCTGCCAATTTCTATCGGCCAACAAAGCGTACTGCTTAGCTCTCTGTACAACATTAGTCTCAGGTTTAGAAGAAGGGCTTCTTCCTTGACGCTCTGTCTCCAAAAACCTCAAGCAGCAATCTTTGTGATACCGCGCTAACTGAAGGTAAGCGAAAGCAGCTTCCTGTTTGCGTAATTCCTCGAGTGATTCGTATAAAGCCAATGCAACTCTTATAGCATCACTTGCTGACAATACTTCATCTTTTTTTTCATTAGAAGAAGAAGCATGAATGTTCTCCACGATGCTCTTGTGTCCATGACCTGCACTGGTTGTGTCGTATTTCCCTAAATGCATTCCAAATCTGAGATATGTATGAGCAAGCTGCTTATAGACTTCAACTTTTAGATCGTCTGGAACCGAACTAGCTTCTGCAGTGGCAACAATGAGTTCTGTCTTTGCTGCCATGTAATACTTAAGTGACTTACTGTATTCTTGTTTTCCAGTCCCGAGAGCTTGTTTGTATTCATTTTTGAAAGCGGGATGCAGTTTAAGAGCTTCCATCTTTTGAACCATTTCTTCATCCCAGAGCTCTTCTTCCGTGACCTAAGTTGCAGTATATTAATATAACATTGGTATAGTCATGAACTTCCTTGAATGCCACTACAGCATTGGCAAAGGCGTCTTCAGCTTTGTTGAGCTCTTTGTTCCCGAGACGGTTCCGACCAAGTTCATTACATACCCATCATTTCTTTCTAATAACAGACTGTAACTCATTACATCCGCTTGGAAGTTCCTGTAATGTTCTTCGAGTTTCCTCATAACAATTTAAAGCAGCCAACAGATTGTTTTCTGCATTATCAGTCTTTGACTCCTTAAGATACTTGAATATTCCGCCTTTTTTTTTGCTGCTGCGGTTTCCTTAGGGTTGGATTCATTCACAGCTTCCTTTGTTCCCACTGATGTATCTTCTTCTTTATGGGTTATGTTCTCAACTGTGAGATTAACAGGATCATCTTCAACATTTCGTGAGAGCCTATTGGTTGCATTCTTGGACTGTGATTTTTTGCTGTTCTTCCTACTATGAGGCACAATACGAGCACTACTTCCATTGCTGCTGCTGCTACTTGCGCTGCTTCCACTGCTTGCTCTGTCACTCTTACAGCTGCAATTTACTAATGAACATGAGGCACAGTTTTTACTGTACTCGGTTAATTTCTTCTTGAGCCTCTGTACTTCCTTTACTACTTCAGACGGCATTCTTAGCTGATTAGTTGATGTCCCCTTTGGTTTCTTGGAGAACTCTTGACCTTTAAGAATGTGGAACTGAACGTGTATATCACCAACCAACATCCATCCTTTGGCCCAAAAGAGGAGTGTTGATGAAAGTTCCCTGAAACCAATGTCTAATTTTGCTTCTAAATTTTCTACTTGCGTTGTTGTTGCACAAGATTTTGGCTGCATTGAATCAGACTTGTTTATCGAAGAAACAAACAAAGTCTCGTCATACTTCTGTGGCATTGATCCATAAATCGAGCAAGCCAATTCCACAGTATTCAAATCTTGGTGCAACTGTCCATCCTCTTTGTAAGCCTCCCCTAGAGACAGATATGATTCACCAAGAAGAAGAACAAGATTCCACAACTTCCTGTCTAACTTAGATATTGGAAGCCACTTTCGAATATCACAGACCTCAATACAATCAAGATGACCACATGTGCATTTCGAAAAGTCCACAGAAGGTAATATATCATTAAATGAACCCTCATCTTCTGAAGACTGTAGTTGCCGTGTGCACCTAAGAGACTTAATCACTTGAGACACATGGTGAATTGCAGCTAGTTTCGATGAAATGGGTCTGGTTCCAGCCTGAAGCAGAGGCACAGGAGCTTGAGCTTGAGCTTGGCATACAGGACCAAGATCAAAACTAGAATCTGAGCTAGAATTCACAGCAGCGCTTACAGTGTTATGGGGGTCTGGACTATCTGAACCTGAGAGTTGCAAGGTGACACATCTGCCTCCAACTTTGGTCTAATAGATAAAGCCGATATATAAGAATCCAAGTAATCTTCAGTGAACTTGTCTTCCGAGAAAACCACCGCCTCACTTTCTTGGCCAGGAGAAACAAGTTCAAGTGATTCCTCTTCTAGGTCTGTTATTTTGACTTCACGTTGCACATTATTAGACTCAAAAGTCAAATCAACTTCCTCGTCATTATTCAGAATGAGCCTTGCAAACTGCTCGTGTGCATATGCCCGAACAACCTATCCAGCATGGTATCAATAATGAGTACCCATCAAAAGGTTGTAAAAGAAAAAAAATAAATCATATATAAATAAAATCATCTTAAAGACCAATACCAGATGATCAGGCTCATCCAAGAAATTCAAACACTTTCTAGGAACCTTGCACACTTGGTCCTATCATTATGCACATGTAAAAGATGCAAAGTATCAGAAAAGCGGCGGTTAAATTCTTATTGATGTTTTATGCAGATGACATGCTATATCCGTACCACTGACAAAGAAAGCCTATGCCTGACACGATAAAGAAGATTTCCTAAAGAGAACAATGAGTCACTTCTCCCACTGTGAATCAAAGATGGCAATGGCCTTGCACTGTCGTTGTGGTCGCTTGAAGAATGTTTCTTTGAAATCATGGAAAGATCAAAGAGCTGAATCACATCTTCACCCGCACTTTTGTAGAGCTGAAGACAACATATCCAAATCAACCAGAGTTAGTAATGACATCAAAAAGAAAATCATTCCAACAAAAGATATAATAGTTTGACAGAGAATTATAACGTTACCCAGTAAGCTCCAGGATCTTCTTTGCAATTTGATTGAAGAAACCTTAAAACAGCAAGACCGTTTTGCTGAACAACGTGAGGATGAAACGCAGGTGTACCATCCTTAGAAATACCTTTCAAACAACTAAGCACTGCAGAGAAACTGAAAATTTGGAGAAACTTCTAAAAGGAGAAGAAAGAAATACCTCCGGTGATCCTAGTCTTGACGGCGGCGAGTGGTAAGACCTTCTCAGGAAAATCCGTAAGCAAAGGAGGCTGAGTAAGATCAGTCTCTATCGGAATCATCTGGTACCTCGATACAATCACTCTGCAACAGCAACAATTCATCATACAAAGTGAAATCAGAACCGTTAAATGAAGAAGAGGAAGAGGTAAGCAACAAACGTTGTTTCCTGAGACGGGAGGAGAGCCGAAGTGAAAGTCGGAAACGAGCTATCGGCGAGAACAGGGATAGAGCCGCAGAGAAAATCGACTGGTTTATGCACGACGATCTCCATCGTCCTGACGCATTGCAACTCTCTCGAGCTTTCGATGGTGCTCGAAAGATAAGGTAACAGCATCGACAGAGGTTTTGGAGCAACCGAATTGCTCAATTTTGATTTTGTAAATTTGAAATTGTCCGTCGTGAAAACTGATCTGAAATCTAGCAGTACTGTGTGAGTCGTGAGAATTCAAGAGGTTTCTCTGGAAGACGGAAAGAGCCCAAAAATCTTCCCCCGGTGATCTTTCTAGAGCTCTCTAAGAAGGCCCAACACAGCCCTTTGAAATCATATATATAATTAGCAAGTTATCTTACACATCAGCACAATTTTTATTTTAAAATAGGCTTTTAAATATATTGGGTTTTGTTTTTATATTTTTAAATTTTGGGTATTTATTTTTGGGCTTTTAACATAATTAATTTGAAATTAAAAACAAATACTTATTTTACAAATTATAAACATTACAAATTCTTTATTTGTGAAAAGGAGTTTGGAAGGCAACCAAATACAAAAGATTATAGAAAAACTTACAGAAAATAATTATTAAACTTTATAAAAAAAACCTTAGAAAAATTTATATATAAAGCTAAAGTAAAATCATTCAAATAACACAAATACTTATTTTATAAACTATAAAAACTACAAATTCTCTTTGAAATAAAAAAATTAAAAATGTTATTTCGTATATAAACAAACAGAATTTAAAAAAAAAGAGTTGGAAAACAATTACGAAAGATGACAGAAGAACTTGCTGTGAATAGTTATCAAACTTATTTAAAAATGCTCAAAAATATTAATGCTGAAAACTAAAGTAATATCATTCATGTTCACTTTACTGTGTAAAATGAATGAAAGTTTTTCATAGATAAAGTATTTAATTATATAGCATAGAAATGAATTTGATTTATATGAAGGAGGAAGAACATGGCAAATATTTATCAACCATTTATCCTCAATGATGGTAATATAAAATTGATATGCGATCACTTTACTAATCAATCAGATAATATATATGAGTATTAATCTAAATATATAATTAAACTAAAACAAGATTATTGATTATACTTTTTGACATAGTCATGTTGTTTACATTCACATGATATGAAAATAGACAAAAATATTTTCACATACATTCACAAATATAGTAAGATAGTTCATCACTAAAAAAGGAAAACGCCTCAAATCAATAATTTATCAAGTACGCATAATTTTTTGATATGAAAACCCATCAAACATATGTAATATTTGAACAGATCTTTTGCTCTGTCTAGCCAATTCTAACTAAAATTCTCCTCATTTAGAGTTATAACAGTTCACAGAACTTAATGAGATGGAAGCTTGCATGAAATAAGAGAAAAAACTAGTAAATTGCAATCAGAATAGCGAGACTAAGAGCTATAAGAAAGGGAAAACAAATAAAAGACTAATTGTGCTTGAAAATGAGTTAGATTTTTTGAAAATCGATATAAAATTAAAGGAATATTTAGTTTAGAATGGAGAATGATCGATGATGATTTCACTTTGTTGATCTATGAAAATAAAATGTAGAAAAAGATGAAAAATCAATTGAATACAAATAAACAGTAAGAACACATATAATACTTATTGCAGTATATAAATATATAAAATATTTTAATTAAATTAATATATAATATTTATTTTACAAGTCATAAAAATTTACAAACTTTTGTTCTTCGTTTATAAAAAAGAATTTGGAAGACAATTACATACAAAATATGACTGAATAAATTACAGAAAATAATTCTCAAAACATTTTATATATAAAACCTTACAAAGATTTATGTATAAAACTAAAGTAAAATAATTCATATAAAATAAATACTCATATTACAAATCATAAATAAATAATTTATATGAATTAAATATAGATAAATAGAATGTGAAAAGATTTATTTTAAATATAAATAAATAGAGTGTGAAAAAGAATTCGAAGGTAAATAATTACGAAAGATGACATAAAAACTTGCAAAGAATAGTTATCAAACTTTTTTAAAAAAATTCTCAAAAAATTAATGCATAAAATAAAGTAAAATCATTCATATCTACTTACTATGTAAAATGAATAAATGTTTTTTTCCGAATAAAACACTAAACTGTTTAATTATATAGTATATAAATAAGTTTAATTTATATGAAGTAGAAAAAATAGTAAATACTTATCAACTATTTTTTCTCAACGATGACAACATAAAGTTGATATTTGATGAGTTTACTCATTAGCCAGATAATTTATGAATTTTAATATGAAGTATATAAACAAACTAAAACAAACATATTGATTATATTTTCTAACATAGTCAAGTTCTTTACCTGCATATGACATGAAAATAGACAAAAATATTTTTACACACATTTACAAATATAGTCAGGTAGTTCATCATCATAAGATGGATGAACACATGGGAATTGTTTTTTGAAAAGGAAAAATATTTGAAATCAATTAAAATTAAGAGTTACAACGAATCACGGAATTGAATGAGATGAAAGCTAGCATGAAATAAAAGAAAATATCAGTGATTGTAATCAGCATAATAGGATTAAGAGCATTAGGAAAAGGAAAAATAAAATGAATAATTATTTGTGTTTGAAAGTGAGTTAGATTTTTAAAAAATCCGATTAAAAATTAAAAGAACATTTAGTTTAGAGTTGGGAAGGGTAGATACTGATTTCACCTTATTTGTGAAAATAAACTGCAAAATAAAAAATTAAAAACCAATTGAATACAGTTAAACAGTTAGGACACATATAATACTTATTGCAACGTATAAATATATGAGAGATTTTTTTAATAATTAATATAATACATCATAATCTATATTAGAAAAAGAATTTTACCATTAAATATACATATTTTTAGACAAAAAAACAAAAGAAAACATTTTAAAGAGACAACATTATAATATAAAATAAACATATACATAATAATAACATAAATATAAAAATAAAATAAAATTAATAGATAAGTATGCGCAACGCGCATGTTAAAGCATCAAAATTTATCAACAATGTTATTCAAAAAAATGCATATACTCTGATAAAAATAAATATGCACCTGAGTGACTTTAAATTATACAAAAGAGAGACAATAAATTGAGTTTTTCCATAAAATTCGTTTAAAAGTAAAAATAAAAAATACTTATTCTACAAATCATAAAACTATAAATTCTATACAAAATAAAAATCTATTTCGAATAAAAAAATAAATAGAAAGTGTGTGATCGATTGTGAAAACATTTGACTGATCTTGCTAAAAATAAACCACATAAATAGGTTAATTAAATAAAAATATTAATATGAAGACATACATACTTACGATAGCGTATAATTATAAGAGAAATATTTTTTAAAATAATTTACATATCACAATTTATTTTGGAGAAAATATTTCACAATAAATTTACATATTTTACGATAACTAAAAACTAAAACAATATATGAAACAAAAAAATAATCATTATATAAATTAACAAATAAATCCGTGCAACGCACGGATCAATTTCTAGTTTTTAAAAGAACAAAAAAACAAAATTTCATTTCTCTATGGGAAATTTGCAGTACGTCAATTTGTTAACCACTAAATGGTTTGTACACCTATACATGTGAGCATAAAATTTGAATTAAAAATAAATAAATTATAATATTTAAATTTCTCGTTTGAAAATAAATAAATAATTAATCTGTACAGTCAAAATATATAAATATAACTTAATGTTACATAATTAGTAAAATTTATGATTGTTGGGTTTTAATCATATATGTTTATATATGATTTAATGTATAAAACAATATATTAAATATTTATTGTTATATTAAAAATTAAGAATTTATTTGTTTTTAATTTTGATATTTTTGTTAATATAAAATAAAAAATAATAGATGATAACATATAAAAAACTTGATTCGTAAAAAAAGAGAAAAAATAACATATTTATTTTTTCATCTAAAATAAAGGTGCATTCATTTATATTTTAGAGAAATTCTAAAATATAAGATTTGAATTAATGGTGGGCTGAAGATGCTCTAAACCGGAATTATAGCCTAAAAAGTTTGCGGAAACTAAAACTTACTAGAGATTTAGTATATTTTTACTTCTACTTCTTATTCATATTTTTACATCTTATAATGATTTTTTTTTTTGCTAAGAGGATACTTATGATTTTTTCCGTGTGTTTATTTTTTGTTTAATTTATAATCTTGAATTCTCATTTTATAATGATAATCATCCACATATGATATAATCTTTTGTTTTTTTTTTTTTGAAAATAGAACAAGATTGGATAGTAATAGAAGGTCCGATAATTTCATAAGATAAAAATGTAAGAAAGTTTTAAAAATTCTATACAAATATATGGATTCATTTTTTTTTTTTTGTCAACAGCCTCATTTTCATAGAACGGTTCAGTTAGCCAATCCGGTGGAAGTGAGTTTACATAAACTAGATGATAAAGGCATGTCCGAGCATTCCGTGCTAGGTTATCCGCTGCATGCATGGAATCTGGGATATCGAGAAAGAAACGAACTCCCTTCTGCTGATCTCGTATTCCTCCAAATGTATTGAAAAAACTGGCCACTTCGTTAGGTTCGACACCATCTTTATCAAATCAGAACAGTCTGTAAGGAAGGTTATCTCCAATCTTCTTGCATCAAGCATACTGTGCATTGTCCAAATCACCCAAAAATTCTAGATTTTTGCAAATTTCATTATGAACTCGAAATTTTAAAAATTTGCAAATCAACCAATAAAATTGATATCCTCATAATTTACCATGTTTTAGCTTGCATTTAGTTTAGTTTTTGGTCTCTTTCATGCATTCATTCATCATATTTTGTCACATTTGCATTTATATTAGACATAATAGGTTTTAGTTAGACATTTGCATGTTTTGCATTGTTTGGAGTCTTTTTCAGGTCTAAATGGAGCAAGGAAGACATTTGGAGAATGGTGAATGATGAGGACATGAAGAACCAAGAATAATAGCCAAAATGACGGGTTTTAGGCTGCACCAAAGTGCTGTATCGACCATAGCTGAGAGAAATCTGTCTGATATGCAGATCGATATAAAATGTATGGGTCAAAACGATGGTCTACCGTTGCGATTCAGCCTCTACGTCCTTCATAGAAGTTGTAGAGGATCGAATAAGCTTTTCAACGGAGGTTGAATCCTGTCAATCCGATCAGTAGTTCAAAAGATACGGCGGTTCAAGCATCACTGTCCGCAACCAGAAGTTCACATCGATCACCACATCGATCATCA